TTTCTTTCTTCAGATCATTTAATTATTTCTAATCTCTTTCTCCCTCTTTCAACCCCATCTTCCAACAAACACCCCACCAAGAAGCAGCATCCATTCCTAGTGAAACATGGAGTTAGAGAAGAGCTCCAGCCCATCTAGTTTGCCCTTTCCCAAACAAATCCTACACGTTTTGCACCAAGATTCTTATGCTAGTTTACAGACTTTCACACTACCTTGAAAGCAGCTGCGTACAGTAGCTGCAGATATTGCTCAAATACATCTATAAGGATATATCAATTTCAGCCTGTTCTACTTAAGCCTGGAACACAGGTTTACCACGGTGCATCAGAACACTGCTTAGACAAGGTGTAGAACATGCAGACAGTGCCTCTTCGTAGCTGGTTTGTTACTGGTGCTGAGAATAATGCTCTGTCAGAAAGAAATCATTGTAAGCTCCAGCTGTGAACATGCATTATTGTCTCTTGTATGGGCAAATATAAGTGTCTCTCAGGTGCAATTTGATTTCCAACTGTCAGCTGAAATTTGTGCCGCTGCTGCTGACGACACCAGGAGGAATAATGCAAAATATATATTTTTAAATAAAAACACCGTTTCTCTTTGGCAGATTGAGAACAGTTCGAGAACACCATGGAACAATTTCTTAGGCCATTGCTTTTACAATATTCAGCTTACTATTCTCCTTAGAATGCACTTTTGAGCAAAAATCTCATCGTGTGCCTACTGCAAGCATGATGGATTGCTCATGCCCAGACAAATGTCATGCACAATCTGCAACAAAAGCAAAAAGCAAGTGTGCAAAAATAGGATGTTTTGCACTTTCTACAAACACACCAATGGGCAGGAGGAAAGAAACCACGTTTTGGAGTTCTATCAGCTTGATTCTACTTTGTTTAAAGGTACGAAATGTTTTCAAAGCCAGTGAAATTAACTCAATCCTTAATTCGTTGGAAAAATCACACATTGATATTCAAGAGAAAAAAAAAATAGTAAAGCATCAAAATATTTCTGGTGTTTGGGATACTTTCCATGCTATGTTATTCATAAAGCACAGTCTTGCTGGAACATGCAGGTCTCCAAATGGCAATACAGAGACACGAGCAGAAATCTGCAAGTCTAAATACCAATTTGCAACAGACATGACATTATTCAGTGAATGATTTGTCATACCAAGCAGTGAGCAATAAATTGGGATCCATTTTTCAGTGACCTAATATTGTTTCAAACCAATATGTCACAGCTTTGAAATAATAAGGCGTAAGCTAGATTGATCACTATCATTCAAACATGGTCTCATTTATCAATTAAATCTGCTTTTGTCAAGGCATGATATTAGATGGAGGACCTCTCTGCTTCTTTATTTACGTAGAAATACCCCTGACATACTGAATGAAATAGTAATACATATCACACAAGGTTGATCATGTATACATAATCAGTGAATTTCCTCCTAGAGCTGTAAGCTCTGTTGGCTTCACAACGTATCTTGTAGGTTATGTTCATACCCCTTATTGCATCCACCAACATAAAATGAATGCTTAGCTTTTCAGTCAAGCCTGAAGTTCTTGGAAAGTATGAATAACCATCAAAGAAGGCTTCACTTCTACAATTAAGACTCTTTTTTTTCTCTACATATAAAGCAGCCCTGAAATCATAATGTGATCTGTGTTCAAGCCTATGCCTCACTGTGTTCTTCAAAACACTCAAAACATCTAAAATTAATTATGTTTTCTGAAATACAAAACTGTTGCCAAATTGCTAACTCTGACCATACTAATCAAATAGAAGTCAAATTAATATCAATCACAATATTGGAATGCAAAACTACATGATAATCAAGGCACACACACAGCAGCAATACCAGGGAATACCCTGAAGGAACTTCCAGATTTGCTTTACTTGAGGCTTTGTCAGCTCTTAGTTGCTGCTTTTGGAACAAAATCAGTAGCAAAGTCATTTTTAGATCTCCATATGCCTGGTCTTTTCATTTCTTGGCAAAATGGAAAAAAATAACATTGCCTGATATGTTTTTCAAACCTGCTGCATGTTAACACACAGAATTTAATATCTGACATTGAGATGTTTGCTATACCAGCACTCCTTTAAAACTATCACAGATGTATCAGTAGCACAGCAGCAAGTCTGAACAGCTGTAGAGAGCTCAGCAGAAGGTAAGAATTACAATTCTTTATCTACATGTAGTGCATTTAGATAAATCAATTTTTGATGCCATGTTACTGTTAGAATATTGGGGTGACAACTTGGTGATTTGCAAATAAAAATAAAATAAAAAGTATTTTAACGGTTTTCTTGTGACAGAATTAAAATCATGTACAAAAACAGTCACATTTCTGCAGAACAACAGCCAACGAGCATCTTAATTATCCAAAAATCAGTGCTCAAATACAACTTCCAGTAAGAGGATAAGAAAGAATGAGTTAAATACCCTCCTATACTTTCACTTAGAAATCCAAACCCAATAATTATCATCAAGTTACACAGGTATCTCCATTCAGTTAGAGCTCTAACAGCAACAAAAAGCCCCAAACACCACAAAGGCAGGAGGTATCTCTCCAAGCTGGTCACTCACTGAGTCACCCTTCCAGTAAATCTCAAACAAGGTGGCTAAAAAGGGAAATGCTAAAAAGGGAGAATGCAGCAAAACTCATAAGAAAAAAACTGAAGTAGTCTGTGATGCAGTTTATGTTTAACCACCAGGATATGAAGCCATTGGGTGCATCCTCAGCAGAAGTACCCAGCACCCTCCTCCTCCCCCCAGACACCAACAGCTATGAGATGCAAAGCCAAAATCCAAGCTCAGCACGTAATCCTGAAATGTGAAGTTAAACAGACTTTCACTGCTGGTTTAAATGGTCAATGTCCACACTCTCATGAAACTGCAAACTTTGTAAGGACAAAAGGACTATTAACTGCACAAGTAAATTGCTCCTCATTGAAAGGGGATATTCGTAATAGTCACATTAACATCCATAGCTGAGGCAAGCTATAAAGTATGCCAAATTGTCTTTTTCCCATTCTACAATATTTGGGGGCCTAATGGCACAGAGAGAACAAGGTTTTTCAGACTTTTCAGAACTACTGTTGCATAGAATCTGTATGTTTAAATTTGATTTCTCAGTGCAACCAACACAGAATCAAACAAAAATCAGACCACAGATCAGCAAAGAACCCCAAAGAGCTGCGGTCAGCTGTTTCTAAACCACTCCAGACAGATATTTAAATTCTTTAAAACAAATGAAATAACAAAATGAAACACCACCAGCAGCCACCAACAACAGTTACTGGCTGTTCAGTTTAATGCCAGCTCCTTTGTGAATCAAGAAATCACTGCTACTGCTCCATAATCTGCACTAATCTGGTCCCAGCATCTAACTCAGATTGCTGTATTTTCCTGCCAAAGTGAACACAAATATTTCCTCCCAAATACAGGGAACTGAATAATTTCTCTTTGCAGACATTTTATATATATTTAAAAACACTGCTTGGCTTTCTCACCACTTTTTTTTTGTTGTTGTTGTTTGAGCCATTCCTAACAAGCTACCACTTAATAGACCAACGTTATCCAAGACCAACCAATTTGTATCATGCCAGATCTACAGTCACTAAATGCCTGACATCACCATGCAGCGAGTTCAGTTCAGTAAAAAAAAATTAAAAAATGAAAAAAAGACGAGGAAGGATTTCTTCCTAAGTCTTCTGAAAAGTTTAATGGTTAATACGCTTCAATTCCCACACAAATCCGAGGATTCTAAATAATTCTCATACCAATTCTCAGTTCCATTTGATAATTCATGGGGCCCTCAGTGCTCTCTTTTTTGTATGAATAACACAATTAGCGTGGAGTGTCAATCATACCCCACCTGCTGATGGTGAAAGAACCCTCACCTCCTTCATGTGTCAGTGTGAGCCACGGCCCTAGGCAGCACAAGCAGGTCTTGTGTCACCTCATGTTCAACAGCTCCAGCATCACTGTGCTGAACTGCAGTCAGTCAGATGAGCACTTCTGTGTGTGTACACGCTTAGGATGCAAGTATGGGAACAGCCACAGTAATTCAGACTTTGAACTGCATATAGAAGCAAAATTTAATCATCCTAATTCTTACAGATAGCCATGGGAATCACCCATTTTCTCAGCAGCTAAAAGACAAAGCTGTTGTAAAGCCATAAAGATGATTTAAGAGTTCGTATCAGTTTGGAGAGAGGAAAATTCTGCAAGCTCAGACAGTTGTAAAATGTCACTTTATGGCTCTGTCTGCTTTGACTCTGTCAAATTTAAGAGGCCACAACACCTATGTTATCATATTCACAATGTTTAGTTTATATTACCTTGTCTCTATTAAGTCTAATGTTTAACATCACTGACCTTCAATAATGAGACTACTTATCAATAAAAGAAAACAAAAGAAATAATTATTTCCAAATATTATTTAAAACTCAGCAAGCAATTACCAAGGACAGAAGATAATAGATGATAAAACGCACTCAACTTCTGGCCCACAAAGAATCCATTTATACAGTTTTCCCCTCAAGACAGCAGTGTTTTAATTATATCTGCAACACTGCATTAAACTACGAAATGCTTCAGTTTCAGGAATGCATGCACACAGTAGAATAATTACAGAGAACAATCTGGACTTTGCGACTGTCTGGATATAGAAAAAACTAGATTCACTGAGGCTCAGCACTCATGAAATCAGAGAGAATTTAACTCTAGAAGATACTCAGCCGGTTGCCAGAGATATCATAAAAATTGAACAAGTGCACAGAAATCACTGAGGTGGCACCCCAAGATAGGAGAACATTCTCCTGGCCACAGCCCTTCCGTCTTCTCCTGCACTCGTTTCCTTTGGATTTGTCTTCTCTCTCTGTAGGAGACGAGGTTTCACTGCTGCTCCCTGATGGAGCTCCCTGCCACCCTCCTGCTGTGACCACAGGACATTCCATCTTCACCCGCTGTCTCTGGAAGCTCCAGTGCTCCTTACCTCCCGCACGGGGCGGCGTTCCGCAGAGCAGCACCACTCCCTGCCCTTCTCGCACGGATACAGTGCTTCTCATCTTCGTCCGTGAGCTCTCAGGGTCTGTTTTAGAAAGAAAGGTGAGATGTTAGGAGACGGCACAGTCCCACCGTACAGGAGGCTCAAGCTGTCCAACTCCTGCTCTCAGGTCACTCAGGATGCAGAGTGGTTCTGAGATCTCCTGGACCTGCTGCTGAAGTGGCTGTTAAACACAAGAGAGGATGACAGAACTAGGCCTAAAGTGAAATAATTTACAAGAACCTAATTAAACACATCCGATGGATAACTTTGCTCTTACGTTAGGCTTATATCACCATAACTCTGCTAACTGGAAAGGAATCATATGCATAACTTAAAAATAGGTCTTTAAGCCACTGCTTGTGCTGAAATGAAGGCTCCGATGAAAATAGCTTCAAGATCCTCTGAGCTCCTCTAACCAGCTGTAAATTGATGTCACAGCTATTCAGAAAGCAGATATGTCTTTTTGAGGGTAAAAAAGCCCTGTGGGCAGAGCCCCTCAAAGCACTGCCCAGCTACTGCCCTGCAGCATGGATAGGGCAGGCACTTTGCTCTCTGCATACCAACCCAGCACTCTGCTTGGTTTTGGTCTTCTATCGTGTTAAACTGTGTAAGAGTGAAACCAAATGCTGCAGGCAATGCACAAGTGCAAAATTGTAGAGCAGCAATATTTATTATAACTTTAAATTAAGGTTCACTCTAACTGATGACTCGAGAACTAAGAAAGTAAGGCTCCACTGTAACCCTGAATAAAGCTAGATACAGCCATCAATACAAACTGGCACTGAAGTTCTACCCCAAGAAAGTATTTCCAGGAATCACATCACAGTAAAGCCATACATGACAACATTCAGACAGTAAAAAGCCAGCTAGGAATCTTAAATAAAAAAAAAAAGCTTTTTTCCTCTAACTTTTTACAGGATATTGATACACAGAGATGCTCAAAAAGGTAGAGAAGTTTTAAGATAAGGCTATCTCTGTAACAAGCATTATACTACAGAGTTGACCAACACTAGCTGTTTCCCAAAACATAATATTTTTTTAATATTGAAAAGCAACAGCTGCTGCAGTCTGAACACTGAACAAGAGTGATTAGAATTTCAATGCCTCATTTAAAAAAAATACATTTGCTGCCACAATAAGATATTGTTCTGTTATTCTTTGTTACTGCACAGAGGGTTACTTAAAATGGTTGCTTTCAGCTTTCCAATTGAATTTCTCTGTAAGTACATCTCAAGGACCTATGTCCTCACTCACATAATGAGTTCAGATCTTCTGGCTAGACGTGTTTTGGAGTTCATAAGCAACCACAACTAAACTGATTTCACTGGGAGATCAAAACAGCCTGCCTCAGAATTTGTTCCGGGTCTTTTGAACATCATTCCCTCCCCTCTATCAATATAAATATCCAATATAAATTCATCAGCCCCTTCATAGCACTTCCACCAAGTCCCTAAGAGGGGAACTAAGAGCTAACAGCATCCCAGTGCACTCACCACAACAGGGCACAAAAGGAGCTGAGGAAGGAGGGCTGTGGAACACCAGCCAGAACAAAACTTATGTGCAGAGATTTCCAACATCACCTTCACTTGCACCTTTAAGAATTTTCCCTACCTGGATTACAGACCTTTTTTCTGATGGCATACATCCCAGGGGAAAAGGCATTCTGTTCCATATTAGGATGAAAATAATGTTGCAACTTGGATGCAAAAAATGTACAATACACACACACACATATATATCATGTATAAAATGGATTTAGATGGAATTTCACCCCCCTTACACCTTAACCACTGTGAGTTGTAAATATTATATAAGAGGGCTGCTCCAAAAGTAATGCCTCCTGTGTTATGATGTTGGCCCACAACATCAGAAGCGGATGTTGGTGGGATGGCAGTAGAGGTTGAACCTTCCCACCAATCTTCTGTTATGTTTTATTGCCTTGTAACAAATGGCAGCAGAGGGGCAATCTGACAAAATGGTGTCTGACATCACTGAATTCCTATGCGCAGATAAAACAGCAGCCACTGACATTCACTGACTCTTTGTAATGTTTACAGAGATTAAACAATGGATTTTAGCACAGTGGAAGTTGGACTGTGTGGGCAACGTTTTCCTAGAAACACTGCCACCATAACAGCTGTAAAACAGTGGGGGCCACCTTCACTGGTGCAGATCTTCACAAGCATGGCAACCAGGCAGGTTCAGTGCTGGCAAAAATGCACAGCTAATGCTGGTGACTATGGTGAAAAAGAGTGTTACATAGCTGAGAATTTGCTCTACTGAATAACAACAGATACAAAGAGATAGATGCAATGACAGATACAATGCTATTTCCATGGGAATAAGTAGGAGGCTTTACTTTCGGATCGACCTACACTTCTTATTTCTGCAGTTACAACAAGATGGTTTAGCACTACTTTCTGAGCACATACACTCATTCCTTGCAACCACACTTGCCTAAAAACACAGCTGTCTGTGCTGTCCCACACAGTGCATGGAAAGGACGGGATGGGGTTGGGAGCCACTGGGAAGGTTTGGGACTCAGCACACTGTGCTGTGCTGCATCACCCAGTGACCCACTGCAGCTCTACAGTCTGAGATGGTGCCATTCAGTGCAGCTGAGCGTATTCATCAGTGATTACAGTGAAGGCTGCTGTCAACCAGGGAATAATTTTTAGAGGAAAACATGAAGGAAAGCAGAATCCATCATAAAACAAAGAATATGAGCGACGCTACAATGAAAGAGTCATTCTTCATTAATTAGCAGGAAGCTTTCTGTCGTACCTACCAGAGCGGCTGAAGCACCAGACTAATCACACAGCTGCACAAGTATCATCACTCAATTCCTTCAGATATTTTTATCATCTCTACGCACTGGCTGGTGGCACTTCAAAAATAATTATAAATTACCATGCAAAATAACAATAACATCCTCCATGAGTATTAAGCAACTAAGTCCAAACTTCTGACCTTGGGAATTATTCCCTACTTATATACAAGTCACTTCTCAGCATGCACCAGCTCAGGGCTGAACAAAACCACCTGTACGGCTGCACTTCGTTCTATTTATTATCCATGGATCATCTTACTCACCACTGGATGTTTCAGGTTTTCATCTACTCTCGCAAACTAGGTGCTGAAATTGTTTTATTTAGTTCCCCTTGCCCATGCCTTTTTACTTCTTACTTGCATTTATTACGATTTATTATGCCCCACTTTTATCTTTTTTTCATCTGAAAAGCTATTGCTCCTGTAGGAAACAAGCAGCTTTGTTACTTAACTTGCCCAAAGTCAACACAGAAAATATGCACCTTAAAACCAATCCAGAACAGTGTAAATGGAAAATTAAATGTTTTCATGCCTTTTTATAGTTTGACATACCAAGTTTAAAATTAGCAATGGAGATGTTTTGGAGTCCTGGAACAGCAACTCCTCCCCTCCCAGGATAACACATAACTTTGCCTCATTGCTTCAGCATCAAGTGTATGACATTCCATCACCTGAAATGCACTTGCCATTGCAATAAAAAAGTGCAAGAAAATGTTATTTAAGTTTATTTATTAAGTAAAGCCTTTGTTCCTCTTTTCAGGCAGGATAATCAGATGTGTTCCCATTCACACAAACACCATGGAAATGAAACCTTGACATCCCTTGCACTCCAGCTAGGTTTTAAGCCTTAAGTACAATGCTAAGAAAGATTTCAGAAATATGGAGCAGAAGTAACATGAGCATCATTTACACTGCCACTACTCTGGAATAACCATTTTTGTATTTGGAACAAAAGTCATATGATATGATATTTAAAAAATGTATTTGTGAATTCATGAGCAGCAGAGCTTTCAGCATCTGAAGACCTCTGCAGAAGATAACGTTTCTTGTGTTCACCTGAAACCAACAGGTAAGAAAGAAATGAAATTGATAGTCTTGCCCAATGCCTGCCTGCATTCACTGCTGCTACAGCAGGTATCCTGCAAGACATTTCTGGTTTGTGCAATTGTGTAATCAAGGAAGGCAATGGATGATGCAAGATCAGATCAAACATCCATGGTTTGAGAAGATTTAACACCATGTAATGAAAAAAGCACAGAGTTTTTGATGACAAAGCTGCTTCAGACAGACCCACTGCCAGCTTGCAGCAGCACTGCACCACAGCTACATATCTGTCATCCATAGGGCCTGAGATTAAGATTAGCAGAGGCTTCTGGAGGTTACACCAACTTCTATTTCAGTAATGCACAGGACAATGTCATGCCCTGGAGAGAAGCAGAATTTAGCACCCAAGTCCATTTGCACCCAAACATCTGATTATACTTACATCAATTGATACTTACTGTCACTGCACATTTATTAGCAATTCTACCATGTTTCAAAAACTCTAGAAGGGTTCATGCTCTATAAAGATAAGTGTCTTTGACAGACAAAAAATATTTATTTTATTACTTCATTAGATTCATTATTTTTCACTGCTGCAGAACTTGTTAAATATACTTCATGTATAATTTTGTACTGGCGTGATGTTCAAGTGCTTCAAATGAGCCTGACAACCAAATCATAACTGTTTTCTTCAGTATGCAGTTCTACAGAGGGGACTTTGTTCAGTGCCAGCACATAATGAACTACTAATGCACAACAAGGTCGCCCTGGTACAAGTCACATTATTTAAGAAGAAATGAAATAGCAGTCCCTCAGCTCTTAAGAATAACAGCCTAAGCATGCTGTAATAGCTACATTGCTAATGACAACTTTGGAGAAAATAAGACAAATCTGTTTCTTTTTGGGAAAGCTTTTTACCACTAGCTATACTACTAACATGCACAGGCAAATGTTATTTCCCACTACTCAATATCCCAAATTTGGCAATATCGAGGAATTTTTATGACCGTGTATTTTATACTTATTGAGACAAACACTGGAAACAACGTATACAAGGAATAATTTCCTTAAGAATACTTCCATCAGCTTAACAGAAGTGTTGGAAGATGAGGCCAGCTAGCCAGAACAGTGCCTGCAGACCACTGGGAACAAGCTCGATAGAGCTGCAC